GCGGGTGAGGGCTGGGGGATGTAACATTCAGCAGAGGGTGGTGGTAGGAATACACTTGTGAACAGTACAGTGTGGGGCGAGCCGAAATATATCCCCTGAGGTCGTTGTGATAAACAGGAACAGAGAGGTGGTATTGAGGTTATGTGAGGGGTTATGGGAGCCCATGGCTAAGAAGGAGGTGGTGAAGAAGGTCGTGCGGCCAGGTTGGCTGGTCTAATACCTTTTGACACACGAGTGAAGCAGTGTATGGAAGCAGAGGATTACTTGAAGGTGGGAGGGGGAGAGGGTAGAAGTGGGAAGGTCATGAAGGATGTGCAAAATGGTGAAGGGAAAGGCACACTGGAGTGTGAAATATGGAGCGACACATTGGTTGGCAGTAAAAGGAAGCCAAACAAGACAGGTAAGTAGGCTTGGAGGACCAGGTAGGCAGGTTAAGTGGATACAGGCGTAGCTACAAACCAATGTATGATTAGGAGGGCATTTGAGGGAAGACTTTCTGCAATCAGAAAAAGCCAAGGGTTATCGAGAAAGATGGTTTATAGATTCATAAAGCGGAATCTAGCTACAAGGTCAGTGCTACTATCGAATGGGTTATGTAGGTGCGCACTTGTTTGCATTGTGAGGCAGAGGAGACGGCTTATTCAAGCCAAATATTTTGTGAAACCCTTGGTTTTGTTGTAAGGGCAGCAAGGTTTAGCGGAGTTCTGGGTATAGTGGCGGGACGGGGAAGAAACATTTCGACTTGAGGGCTATGCATTTTGATGTGGGAGGGGTTTCCAGGACATTCGGAAGGGCAGTGATGATATGTAGTGTCAGATTTTTTGTATGTGTCTTGGAGCATGCGGGAGGTGGGGGTGAACAAAGGGTGCGGGCGCTTTGCGGCAGAGTGTGTATCGTTAGCATGTATGCAGAAAAAGCACTATATGGGGATGTGTGGGTACATAGTTTTTTTCCCTAGGTTATCGTAATCTGTCGGTAGTGTAATGTTAGGTTGGGTGTAGTTAGAGCTGGATAGGGCTGGTTCTCCTAAACTTGCATATCTTGTTCCTTTTAGTGAGATTAGTGAGGATGGAAGGTGGAATAAAAGTGTGTGGTAGTGAGGCAATATGGGTGTAAAGTCTTAGGAATGGGGGGGGGGCGCAGGGGGGGTGAACTGGTGACATTTGGTTAAGAGACAGGGTTTTATGACTTTCGACGTCAGGTACGAACTTGAGCATGGAATGGAACGTGAGTTATGAGTGTTTTTTTAATACAGATAGCATGGGGTCAGGATGGCAGGGGTGGCTTTCTGTGTGTCTATTGCCAGTGGTTTTTGTATTATGATTGAGGTAGTACTGCCCGGTACCTAGTTTTTATTAGGAGCCATAAGTTTAATAATTGTGTAACTTAGAGCATGACAGAGTAAGTCTGATATTGCTCTGAACTTTGTTAAAAATAAAGATATCTTGTTGAACATAACACATAAAAAATGGAAATGTATTCGTGAGATAGTTACAATTTCTAGTGTACTGTTACCCATATTAGTTGGTATTCACCACTTTGTCAAATAATTACTATCTATATATTGTTTATACATTAATTATGATAGTTCTTATTTTATACTTTAAGTGAACAAATGTAAGGTGTAGTGACCTAGTGCAAGTGGCCTTTATCTTGCACTGGAAAAAGGGGAAGTGTTAAAGTAAAATAATAATGGATCAAACGAAATGTCATTAGATATATGTACACTGTATTTTAGAAGACGGGAAGGATTGTGAGGATTGACAATACAGTATTAATTCTTATGTAAATTTCATGGAACTCCGGTGATAATAATTTACACACCTATTAGTCGGATGATCAGTAATTGATATAAATTATGCCTTATTGTAAATAATTTGATTGATGAAATGGTAAAATCTGGTTTTAGCTTAAGGAGTAAAAGAGATAAAAAGCATAGGGAAAAGGGGAAATTTGAGTAAGCACAAAGATGAATCAGCAGTATGTAATAGTAACATGTAACATTTTTAATCTTCTCGAAGTGCGGAGACATAAGGGGTTCTCATATTCCTTTGTATTGTAACCTTAATGTATTTTTAAATTTAATGACTGATGGAGTATGAGTGGAGACGGCAGCCCACAGTTACTAGGCATGTGGGGGGGGGGGGGGGGTAAAGATCAGCGGTCGTGTCCTAAATCCACCACCGTGCACGATTATTGATTGTTAATCATGAGGTATAGAGGGTTAGGAGTGGAATGTTTACTTTGGATAAAAGAGGAGTGCCGAACATGTTCAGATTTTTCTTGTATTTAGTCAGCCCTTTTAGGATGGCTGGATTGTGTTTATACAAAGTTGTCAATGATATCCTTAATGCTCTAATAACTGTATAATAGATGTTAATGAGTATACTCAGGTGAAAGTGTTAATGTTATTCAAGGGGGGGGGAGAGACCAGCATTACTAAGTAGGACCTAAAAAATTCGTTTTTATTATAAACCATCTTTTCACGTGAAGCACGATAGTACCTAAAAGTAGTTTGGATTGGAGTGCGCAGCCAATTCTGATGTCATTATATAAGTGCTTCTTTGGTATTTGTGTAGTCACTGCAGATTATCCGTTTTTACTGCTTGTATCTTGTTACAACTGATATGTTTTCCATATAATTTTGTACCCTGAGTTTAAATAAAATATAAAAAAAAAAAAGACTGCACTTGTTGAATAAGTTGATTTTTCGGCGTTTTCTTGCTGGCCTTGGTGCTGTTTTCCTCTTAGATTGCGACCTCATACTACTACAGGAATTGATTTGGTAGTTATGAAGACGTTGTAGTTATACAAAGTTAAGGGTTACGTGTTCGGGCTGGCAGCGGTGTTGCTTTCGGGTTTGTGGGCATCTTCCTTTGATCTCTATTATGTCGATTTGTAAGGTTTCACTGTTGGTAATCTTTGGTCATTCTTGTGCTACGTTGGTAGTGCAGTTTTGCATGTAATCTAGGTCCATCGTAGGATCACTGGTAGCTCAGATAGTTGGAGAAACAGTTACGAGCATTGAGTCGCTGCTGCCGCGCTGCCGCGCCTGCAAAATTTGTCCCTAAGTTTTACAGAGAGTGACCCAGATAGATTTTTTTTTTTTTTTTTTAAAAGACTGTAGCAAGGATGGCCCAAAAAGAAGTGGGGTACCCTAGTTCGCACACAAATTGTGGGTAAAGCATTGCGAAGTAAATCGGAGGGGAAAGATTTTTCCAAATATGATAAAATTAAAGGGGAAGTATTGCTTGCATACCCAAAAGAACCTGAGAAAAATAGGCAAAGGTTCAGAATCAAAAATTTCAGGAAAGGGGAGCCTTTAAATGAGTTTGGGGGGTGGGGAAAATGTTTCTTTTTTAAAAAATGGGTTGTTCCAAAAGGGTGTACAGAGATATGACAAATTGTAGAACTGATTCATGAAGAATTTTTCAATAAATCCCTGTTGACTTTGAGAAAATCTGGAGGACCAAAATGGGGAAAATGATTATTTACTCACAATTATTTGCTCCATCCCAGGTCCCTGTACGCAGCCCCTTTACAAAAGATAAAAAAAGTATGTATTTCTTAAAGGCTTTGATGAAATTCGTTTTCTGTGGTTTTCCTCAAGAGGTGAAAACGACCAAGGACCCTTTACCTCAAAGTTATTTAGAAAGTTTTAAAGGGTTTAAAAAAGTAAAGCCTCAGTTTTCAACTGCCTTTCCCCCTCCACCCCAAGGGAAATAGAGAAATTACATAAAAACCCAAGAAAATGGCGAGCCTATGGTATAACAATACCAACATTTTGGGATGAGAGGATCCCTTTCTTTGTATTTGCTGGGGGGGAAAGCCTTGGAATCTCTGAGCTATTGCTCGGGGAGGTTTGTGATGCTCCCCCCCCGGGCTTTCCTCTTTTTCAGCAGGGGCTGTATGAGGTGGGGGCCCAGTGAACGTGCCCATCAACCAGACCGGATGGGATGGGGGCCCTTTTTGTGGACCATAATCTCGGAGGCGGGAGAGGAAGTGTGAGCTGGGCCAATTCATGTGAAAAATCTTATGGTAATTTTGTTGAGTGAACTTTTGGGGGGGAATTTCCCCGGGGGTTAGATTAAAACCCACCACCCGAGCAGGAAAAAAATGATTTAAATGTACACAAAACCCGGTTAAAGGGTCTGAAGTTATGTCAAAAATTCAGAGAGACCAATGTTTAAGGGAATGAAAAAGGGTGCAAAACAAAATCTGTTTTAAAAGCAAAATTATTGAGAAAAAAACACATGTGTAAAAGTTTTGGGAATGCATGTTTGGTTTTTAAAGAAAAAAAAAGTTGGGAGTTTGGTACTTTTAAAAATTTGGGTGTCAGTAATGGGGAAAAAGCTGAAAATCCCGAAGTAACTGTTAAGGGAAATGAGCCCAAATTTAACGTTTTTTGGGGAAAAAATCGTAGAAAAAAGGGAATGGGGGAAGAATGAAATTTCCCCCAAAACCCGTTTGTGTGCTTAGTGAGAGTCGGGCATTCCCCGCTTCATGGGTTTCCCAAATTAATGGCCCCCTGGGCATGGGGACTGACTGCCCCCAAGGTACATTTAACAACTAAGATTTCAGGTTTTGAAAGTTTCTACTAATGACCCAAGGATGCAAAAATTTAAAAAAACTAAACATGGACAATAAAAGGATTTCCTGGCCTGTGTTCCCGTACCATTTCCAGTAAGTAATGAAAAATTTTGTTCATTGTGTACTTTTAAAAATTTTTGTGTGAGAGGAACGTGACAGTATTTGTGTAAACTTGATGTACACAACCTGGGTGCAAAGAGATGTCTTTGGTGTTTGTTTTTGTACTGCAAAAGGTTACAGAATTGTTACTTATGAGTAGCCTTCTAAGTTTAGATGTCAACATTTTACCACAGGAAAGAAATTTCATTTTCGGGCTGGCTATTCCCTTTCCAGTTGTACTCATATACAACGAATAAATGATATATATATAAATGGATATCTGCAAATGATAATCCACGATATTTAATTACCTTGATTAAGATGCTACCTTCCGTCTCCTGGATCTCCTTGATAAGATCGTTGACTTCCTCGTGGATAACCTCCTTGCTGGATTGTTTCCCAAACCCAAGATTACGGAACTGATGGAGCGTGAATCGCCTCTGTTCCTTAAAAAAGTCCTTCTCCACATACAGCATTCCTGTAGATACATATACGTACTCTATATACATATATGTATGTCGTGCCGAATATGTAAAACTGGTCAGTTAGCGAGAACTCATTTAAAATTAAGACCTTTCTAAAATTTTCTCTTATACGTTTAAAGATATATTTTTTTCATTAATGTTAATGTAAAAAAATTTAATTTTGTTCCAAAAGAATCTTAGAAAACTTACCTAACCTTATTATAACAAGAACAATTTATTTTAGCCTAACCCAACTATATATATTTTAGATTTGTTTATAATAATTTAATACTAAACAAACACAGTGAAATATATTTTTTTCGTTAGGTTCAGAATGATTTTGGCGAAATTATTGCATACACAAATTTTCGCTTGTCCTATATGGCAAGATGAGCGTTGCTATTTAAGCCAAGATCACAAGTTCTGCCTATTCGGCACGACATATATTATATATATATATATTTATATAAAATTTATTATATAAATATATATTATATTATATATATATATTTATATTTTAATATAATATATATTAATATTTATATATATATTTATTTATATATATTATTATATAATATATTATTAATATAAATTTATATATATTATATATATATATATTATATTTTATATATAATATATATATATATAATATATATTATATATATATATATATATTTTATAATATATATTATATATATATATATATATTATAAATATTATTTATATATAATTATTATATATATTAATATTAAATATATATATTTTATATATATATTATATATTTATATATATTAATTTTTTATAATATTTTTATATTAAAATATATATATATATAATTTATATATTTTTTTTATTATTATATTTTATATTTTTATATATATATATATAATAAATAAATATATATATAATATATTATATATAAATATATATATATATATATATATTATATATATATATTATATATTTATATATATATATTAAAATATATATATATATTTATATATTATATATATATATAATATATTATATATATATATATATTATTTTTTATATAATATATTTTATATATATATATAATATATATTTTATATATATATACACACACAGTGGAACCTCTGGTCAGTCCATAATTCGTTCCAAAAGTCTGATTGTGACCCGATCTGGTTGTGATCCAAACTTAATTTTCCTACTGGATTGTATGTAAATACGATTAATCCGTTCCAGACCCCTACAAACTGTACATAAATATTGTTTAAGATTTTTAAGCATAAAAATAGTTAATTATACCATAGAATACACAGTGGAATAGTAAACTAAATGTAAAAACTTTGAATAACACCGAGAAAACCTTGGACAGAGAAAACTAACATTGCACAAGTCCGTTCTAGAACCCTACGAACCGTTCCGTTCACAGAAATAGTAATCAAAGATAAGATTTCGTTCGAATTTTTAAGCCCGGAGGGTTAGCCACCCAGGCAGTGTGTCATCGAGAACTGTCTTTATTTCCAATGGGTTCTTCAATCTTGTCCTCCAGGATGCGACCCACACCAGTCTAACACCCAGGTACCTATTTGCTGTTAGGTGAACAGGACAACAAGTGTAAGGAAACGCTTCGAAATGTTTTTTTCCACACCTCCGAGAATCGAACCGGACCTCCGCGTGTGAAGCAAGAGCTGTGCCAGAAAGGCCATGGGGCCACCCTCAGTTTGTAAAATCCTTAATTATACACAAAATGTACAGTTTAATAGAGAAAAAACTTAAATAACAGAAAAATAACCATACCGTAAACAACCAGGAAAACTAACCTTGCATGAGTTGACTTCTGGAGTGAAGGAAGTTAGGAGGAAGTGGGGAGGCTACTATTTTGAGGGAGAGTCCACCTCTGTGATGGAGGATCGTTCTCCTTCAGGTGTTTTCTCGCGTTTAGCTGGTGGATCAAACTGTGTTTGTTCCGCACCCGATTATGGGTTCGTGACCAGATGCAAAAATACAGCGAATTTTTTGGTCGCGAACCGATTTGTGTTCAGAAGCGTTCATGACCAGAGGTTCCATATACATATATATAATTTTATTATATATTTATTTTATATATATAAAATAATATTATATATATATATTTATATAATATATATAATTATAATATATTTTATTTAATATATATAAAAATATTGTGTGTGTGTGTGTACTCACCATTTGTACTCACCTATTTGTGGTTGCAGGGGTCGAGTCTAGCTCCTGGCCCCGCCTTTCACCGGTTGCTACTAGACCCTCCCTCTCCCCGCTCCATGAGCTTTATCAAAACCTGTCTTAAAACTGTGTATGGTTCCTGCCCCCACTACGTCATTTTTCTAGGCTATTCCACTGCCTTACAACTCTATGACTGAAGAAATTACTTCCTACTATCTCTCTGACTCATTTGTGTCTTTAACTTCCAATTGTGGCCTCTTGTTTCTGTGTCCCCCCTGGAACATCCTGTCCTTGTCCCCCCTTGTCTATTCCACGCAGTATTTTATATGTGTTATCATGTCTCCCCTGACCCTCCTGTCCTCCAGTGTCGTCAGGCCGATTTCCCCTTTAAATTTTCTTCATAGGACATTCCCTTAGCTCTGGAACTAACCTTGTTGCAAACCTTTGTACTTTCTCTAGTTTCTTGACGTGCTTTATCAAGTGCGGGTTCCAAAAAGGTGCTGCATACTCAGTATGGGCCTGACATACACGGTGTTTCAGTGTCTTGAATGATTCCCTTTCTAAGGTGTCGGAATGCTGTTCTCAGGTTTTTGCCAGGCGCCCCTATGCTGCAGCAGTTATCTGATTGATGTGTGCTTCCGGAGGGCATGCTCGGTGTTATACTCACCCCAAGATCTTTCTCCTTGAGTGAGGTTTGCAGTCTTTGGCCACCTAGCCCATACTCTGTCTGTGGTCTTCTGTGCCCTTCCCCTATCTTCATGACTTTGCATTTGGCAGGATTAATTCGAGAAGCCATTTGCTGGACCCGGTGTCCAGTCTGTCCAGGTCTCTTTGAAGTCCTGCCTGGTCCTCATCAGATTTAATTCTCCTCATTAACTTCACATATCTGCAAACAGGGAACTTCTGAGTCTAACCCTTCCGTCATTCGTTCCATATACCAAAAATAGCACTGGTCCTAGGACCGACCCCTGTGGGACCCCCCTCGTCACAGGTGCCCACTGTGATACATCATTACGTACCATGACTCGTTGTTGCCTCCCTGTCAGGTATTCTCTGATCCATTGCAGTGCCTTCCTGTTATATGCGTGATGCTCTAGCTTCTGCACTAATCTCTTGTGAGGAACTGTGTCAAAGGCCTTCTTGCAGTCCAAGAAGATGCAATCAACCCACCCCTCTCTCTCTTGTCTTACTTCTGTTATTTTATCATAAAACTCCAGAAGGTTTGTGACACAGGATTGCCTTCCCTGAATCCGTGCTGGTTGGCATTTATACTCCTGTTCCCTTCCAGGTGCTCCACCACTCTCCTCCTGATAATCTTCTCCATAATTTTGCATACTATACACGTCAATGACACAGGTCTATAGTTTAGTGTCTCTTTTCTGTCTCCTTTTTTGAAAAAGGGAACTACATTTGCCGTCTTCCATACCTCAGGTAGTTGCCCAGTTTCCAGGGATGTGTTGAAGATTGTGGTAAGTGGTATGCACAACATATCTGCTCCCTCTCTAAGGATCCATGGAGAGATGTTGTCCGGTCCCATTGCCTTTGAGGTATCGATGTCCCTTAGCAGTTTCTTCACCTCCTCCTCATCTGTATGTATGTTGTCCAAAAACTTGTTGGTGTATTCCTTGTTGGTGTCCCATCTGGTCTGTCCCCCAGAGTCCTTCCTGTCTCACTGTAAATACTTCCTTAAAAACTCGTGTTTAGCTCCTAATCCTCTTGATCGTTTCTTGTGAGTTTAAACCTTCTTCCTAGCCTTTCACCGGTCCTTGACTGTTGTCTTCCCCTAAAGTGGTATACAGCTTTCTGGTCAG